CATCGATACTTTCACACCTAGTTCTCACACATCCGTATTTTATATATGTGTATGTATATATATATAAATATTTTCTATTTATATATATATATAAATATTTTATATATATATATATTTTTTTCTATTTATATATATATATTTTTTTCTACCTTTATTCTATGATGGACTGTGTGAATGCACATATGAAAAAGAGAGAGGGGAGCACTCTCCCCAGGGCCCAGTCATGTCCCTTCCTCCAGCCCTCCAGCCCATTAGATTTTGGGCACTTGCACGGATGCCTGGCATATTTCAGACCAACCTTGCCATGCCAGCAGTTCGAACCTTGGTCATCAGGTAGGATCTTGCTTCTTTTGAGCAGTGCATTACCACTGCACCTTCTATTTATATTTGAAAACTGACTTTTCTTTGTTTTCCAGAGAATTCCTAGAAGTTATGGCTAGTGCTCTGACTGGTTGTCTTCACAACATCTCTTCTGAAAACCTGTTGCATGCTGTATACTCATTTGGTCTGATGAATTACTTCCCCCTGGCTCCTGTTAATCAGCTTCTCCAAAAGGATATCGTCACTGAGTTGCTGACATCAGGTAGCATACTGGTGCACAGTGGTGACAGAAATAAGGCACTACCACCAGCTACCCTATGAATGGGGTCTTAGAGCAGTGTTTGTTAAGACATGTAGACTGGATGCTACCGAGGAAGGGACTGATAATGACAAAGTCAGTGCTTCAAACCTGTAAACTTATAGGGCTTTCTTTAATGATAGATCCTACATATAGAAGAAAAGAAGGACAAATGCATGTTGCTTTTCCTTTTATTTACACTTTATACACCTATACAAAGGCTAAATGTTCAAGTTGCTTTTTATGCCACGAGAAGAAATATTTGTATTTCTTAGTCCTTACATATCATGTTTGAAGCCAATGTAAATCAACATTTGTAGCTGTAAATACTTGATTAGTTGTGGCCTATAGTTAGGACATAGCTTGATAGATCAAGAAACCAAATAGCTTTCAAATTAGTGAATTTATTTACTCTTAGAACCAAATTAATCATTGAATTTTAGTCTTTAGTATTAAACAAGGAAAAGCAATATTTGGGTAGATGTATGAATTTTAATAGTTAATGTTCTTTTTTTTTAATTTATTTGTTATCATCATAATCTTATTTATATTACATTGAATCACATATAACTTTACAGTGTATTACATTTCTTTTTCCAGAAGGAATACCATGCATATCAGTCAGTACAGAGACATTAAAATCCCCATTTCATCATCCAATAGTTAACGTTCTTTTATAAACAATGCCAAATCCCAAAATTGAGTTGTGATGAATTAGCACCACATTGGGTAAACAGCCTTGAACTTAAGAAACCTTACCCCCCAACGTTGCCTTAAATTAATCATGTTAATCATGAAGCTATTTTTCTTTTCTTTTTCTTTCTTTTTTTTTTTTCTTTTTGGTCAGAGGGCTCTTCCACTTGCCAGATAGAAGGAGAAAACACCCCACCACCACTCAAAGGTGCATGATTTTACTGCAATCCCTTTTCCTCCATTGCTCCATCTTGTTAAGATTTGGGGGCATGCACACATGTACACCCTGTGTATTTTCTCAAGCCACAGGGTCCAGGGTTTGAACCACAGTCAACCATAGGTGGATCTGGATCCTTTGACCATTAGGCCTCAGGGCTGGCCCAGACTTCAGGCCCTTTAACATTCCTGGGCTTTTCCTCATCAATATAATGAGGAAGTTAGACTGAATTGCCTCTGAAGATATGATTTAAATCAGTGTCAGCTTTAGGGCATTGATCTAGATACTATGGGACCTAGACAGACAGAGCGATCCCTCATGGTAAGAGATATTAGAAATTTAAGTGCATTAATACAGCTTTTAAATACGTTATTTTCTCTTAGCAATATGTTTTCTCTCTTTTTTGTTTCACTTTTTAGGTGACATAGAGAGGAATGTTTACAAGCTCCATGTATTGGATACTTGTCTAAAGCTCGATGATACACCTTATCAGAGGGCCGTGGGCCTGTCACTGCCACAGCCACCCTTGACACCACCGTATCCAAATGCCAAGGTGGCAGAGGTGCTCAGTAGCCTTCTAGGAGGTGAAGGGTACTTCTCAAAAAATGTGCAGTTGCCACATAATTATCATATCGGTATGGGATTTCACGTAACTTTCTGCCATTTTATTTATTTTCCTTTTCTTCTGACTATAGGTTAGGAGGTTCCTGCAGCAATGCAGTGTCATGGAGCATTGCCTCGAGCTGGGCTTCCTGGGCGTGGATTCTTGCTCTCTGGCTTGCTAGTGCTCTGACTTTTAGCACTTAACTAACCTCGCTTTCCCTACTTGTAAAAGGGCAATAATAGCAGTACCTGCCTCATAGAGTTCTTGAGGCCAATACATGGGGTTACATACATAAAATCCTTAGGCTAGTAAACCTCCATATAATATATTTTAGCTATTATTGTTATTCGTAGTAGCATTGCATTCGAAATAGAAAGTCACTTTGAGCAATGTGTCAAAATTAATATCAGTTCTTTTGTTTCAGATTTTGAAATCAGAATGGATACTAATAGGAGTCAAGTGCTTCCGTTTTCTGATGTGGATGTAACTTCTACAGATATGCAAAGGTTGCTTACATATACTTATTTGCGGACTTTCTAAATTTAGTCTTATTTTTAAGGATGAATCAGACAGGAATCCTGACCCCCAAGGGAATTTTATCCCCTGTCACCTCTGTTGGTTATATATAGATAAGAAGGATGGAGAGAGGTACAGAGAAAAAGTCTATAGGGGATTCAAACTCTTTTCTGCCCAACCCTTCTCATCCACATGCAGTTCTGTGATTTTTACGTCTTTCAGAATCCACCTTATTCCTGTGTCACCTTTGAACTGCTGTCCTCCCTAACCATTTTCCTCTTTAGGTACACCACTGTTCTTGCATAATGAAATAACATAATAGTTCTAAACATCAAGTACTTAAAAGTGAAGAATCTGAGCATTCCTTTAAAAATATAAAAAACATCTCTCTTATGTTGTAATAGCCAAGAGCATAGGAAAGGACAGTAAGGATGTGTCTTTTTTTCCCTGACAAACTTAATGTTTCCAGAATATTAGGAATAGTGAAAAAAACAAGGTCCTTTCCACATTTTTGTTACATTTACAGATTTTATCTTTTTTATTTATTGTTATTGCCGAAGGGTGAGTGTGCTTGTCAGAGAGAAAGAGAGTGAGCGAGCATCCCCAATAAGGTACGATCGGGCTGCAATCCTTGCCCCTCCATTTCCCCATTCAGAATTATTGGCATGCCCACATCTGGCATTTTTTCCCTTTGTATTTTTGTTTTTTTGAGGGGGAGAGGTTCTTGTTATAGGGCACATGTGCTTGCCAGAGAGACAGAAAGCGAGAAATCACCCCCCAGGGGGAGTGGCCACGCTGTAGTCCCTTCTCCTCCATTCTTCTCTTCGAATCTTGGGCACACATGCACATGTACCTGTCATGAGTTTAAGCCACCGGGTCCAGGACTTGAACCACGGTCGACTACATGGGAATCCAGAGACATAGCCATTATGCTTACTGCTGGTCTCTGTATTTTCGTTTTATTTTAAATTTACTAGAGTGTCCATGTTTGCCAGAGAAAAAAGAGAGAGAGAGGGAGGGAGAAAGAAGTTACCTCCCATGGAGAATTATCATGCTGCAGTCTCTTCACCTTCTTTCCCTCCTTTAGGGATTTTGGGTACACATGCACACATACTTGACATGTTTCTCAAGGTGCCAGGCCTGGGATTTGAACCACGGTCAGCCATATGGGATCTGGCTCTGTGTGTGCTACACCTAACCACTACACTACAGGGAAACTTTGTATTTTTTGTTTTTGTTTTTGTTGTTTTAAAATGGGGGGGTCTCAGTATGCCATGACCCTCAAAAGGCAGCCCCCTTAGAACAGGGATTACAGATATGTACCACCACACTTTGCTTTCAGGTTAGTTCAGGACTTGAACCCAGGTCGCCTGTCTGACCTCAGCCTGCAGGCATGCAGTCTTAGTGCACCACCATGGCTGGACCCTGATTTTCTTTTTTTAACAGCCTTTCTCTTTTTTTATCTTTGTATTGGAGCTTTTTTCTTTGTATTTGGTCTCCTGGTTTTAGTTTTTAAATGCTGCACTCTGGGAGAAAGTATGTACGAGAAGAACACTTAGCGTTTAGCGTTATCTACACCTGTACTTCCGGTAGTATAAATTGTATTCAGATCAGAGATCACCACTGTACAGGAAACCCTTCTAATGGATTTTTTTGGTCTGGAAATTGTCTTCATAAGAAAGGTAGCTGTCTTTTATCTGAGAATGAACCTTCCCAGCAATGTGGACAGATTCATAATTAAATATTGATCATCAATGGTTTCAGAAAGAAAGATCTCGAACAAAAGAGGGAAGTGAGAAATAAGAGCAGTTCAGAACAGTCCCTGGAATGCAGCGTCCACTTAAGTCTTAAAGGCCTGAGATGTGGGGGCACTCCACACCCATTGGGGTTATTGCCCAAAAGGCATGTTTAGTTTCCAGTAAACAAACTGATGCTGCATGGGAGTGTATAATGTGCGTCTGTCCTTTCTTCATCTCAGAGCTTTTAGTTTATGATGTAAAAGAGGGTATAGCAGTCAGTGGCCTGTGCAGTTTTAAATGGACTAATTGGACTAATGTAAATTCTTTTTTTTTTTTTTTTTTGGAGAGGTTTTTGCTATAGGGCGCATGTGCTCGCCAGACAGACAGAGAGAGACAGAGAGACAGAAAGCGAGAAATCACCCCCCAGGGGGGATGGCCACGCCACAATTCCTTCTCCTCCATTCTCCTCTCGGGATCTTGGGCACGCACACACACGCGCCCGGCGTGAGTTTAAGCCACTGGGTTCAGGACGCGAACCACGGTCAACTACGTGGGAGTCCAGCCACATAGCCATTATGCTAACTGCTGGTCCCGCTAATGTAAATTCTTGACAACCAACTTGTTACCTCCCTGTTTTTCTGCTCTTCTCTTTGTTATATAAATCAGCTTTCTCGGCAGCCATTTCAGTGAGCACATTGCTGGCAACCAGAGGTCAGTGTCACCTGAGTGACTTGACCTAAGTCCTGGCTCAAATAAAGCATTTTTTAAAAAAAAAAAATTCTCTTTTTAATTTTGCCATAGGGTGAATTCACTCATCAGAGAGAGACAGAGAAAGAGAAAGTGAGAAATCCATATTCTTGGGATTTGGGGCATGTACACACATGTGCCCAGTGTGTTTTTTGAGCTACTGAATCAGCAATTCGAACTGCAGTGGCAATGTGGGAATCCAGCACATTAACCATTACCATGTCACCTTCTGGCCTCTCAAATAAATCACTTTTTAAAAAAGAAAATGGCAGCCATTCTTAGAGGTGACCAATGGATAACTGCCAGTGTAAAGTGTTATTACAAGTGTTGGGTTTATAAAGTAGCCTTTGTTCATCAGCATGTTTGCAGCGTCCAAGAAACAGGTAAAGGACTGAGCCATTGGGAACAGTGAGGATTCTGGTCAGTGGAGAGCTCAACTTGGAAACCTCCAAGAGCTGGAATGCAGTCAGATTTATCAGTGGTAATCACAGTAACTGTTTGTGCTCTTTATTTCTGCTTTCAGAGTAGCTGTGCTGTGTGTGCCTAGATCTGCTTATTGTTTGGATCTAAGCCACCCCAGAGGATCCCTTGCTATGAAAATGCGGCATTTGAATGTGATGGGTTTTCATGTGATCTTGGTAAGAAAAGCATGGCAGTGAGATGTTCTTCAATTACTCACTGATGTGTATTCTAACGGCTGCCAGGAACATTGTGGTTGACCTTGGTTACTAAGACTCTAGAGGAATTACCAGCACTATTGGAATAAATGTTTTAGTTATTGTTTTCTTTGAAAAGAACATTTCCAGTACATGATTTGGCTTCTACTTAGCTGATTACTTTCATTGACTAGGGTTTTATAAATATTATTTTGGTCAGCTTTAATCCTTTCTTTATGTTAAAAGGACGAACATAAATAATATGCTTTCTTATGTAGGAGACATGAAACCATATTTAATTGCCAGGTTCTTTTTAACAGGGATGAAAAGGTGTTAAAGCTTTGTTCCCATTGGTCAGTGTGAGGCTATTAAAGAGGGTTTGTTACCAGAAAAAGCTGGATGGTGTAAGAGATGGTTCTTCCTCTTTTCTCTTATGCTTCACTTTGATTCCAGGCATCACAGCTGCTTTTGAATAGCCTCCTTTGACGTCTCTGTATGTAGCAAGAACCTAACAAATAAATTTATATTCATATTAATGTTGGGATTTATCTAAATGTCCCTTAGTTGGTCCTGTATATAATATGAAATGTAAACATTTGAATCTTCCAATATTTACACTTTATATCTTTTGGGTCATCAGGAAAGCGTGGTGCATTTTTTTCCTAGAAAAATATGTCACGACTTTCCCAATGACCTAAAAGAATTAGATTATACATGGATTACTGAGATTAAGATGCTCCAACTGGGGCCATCAGGTGGCGTGGTGGTTAAAGGTGCTGGACTCCCACATAGCCAACCATGGTCTGAGTCCAGGACCTGGACTTGCTTGCTCACTTTCTCTCTCTCTCTTTCCCCCTCTCTCTGTATCTTGCTATGGTCAAATTAAAAATAGCAATAATGATAAATAAAGAATTATTTAAAAAAAAAAAAAGATGCTCCCACCCCATTTTTGGGGGGGGGGTTTCCTATAGGGTACGTGCACTCTCCAGAAAGAGAGAGAGAGGCAGACAGACAAAAAGCAAGAAATCACCCCCTCCCCCCAGCAGGGATGACCATGCCGTGATCCCTTCTCCATTCTCCTCTCGGGATCTTGGGCATGCATGCACATGTGCCTGGCATGAGTTTTAAGCCACCAGGTTCAGGATTCAAACTGTGGTCAACTACATAGCCATTACGTCCAGCGACATAGCCATTAGGACTGTGGTCCCTAGCACAGTCTTATTAGGCTATTTTTATTTTTTTTTTTAAAAGAGAGTTTTTTGTTTGTTTGTTTGTTTGTGTTTTTTTGCTGTAGGGTACATGTGCTCGCCGGAGAGACAGACAGACAGATAGATAGAAAGCGAGAAATTACCTTCCCCAGGGGGAACGGCCATGTCACAATCCCTTCTCCTCCATTCTCCTCTTGGGATTTTGGGCATGCACGCAAATGCACCCAGCGTGGGTTTTAAGCCACCAGGTCCGGGACTCAAGCCACAGTTGACTACATGGGAGCCAAGCAGCGTAACCATTATGCCATCTGCTGGTCCCTTATTAGACTTTAAAATATGACTAATTATAAGATGACATTTGCTTTTAAAAAACAGTTGATATTATGTTTTCTTGATATTTTTTAATCTCTAAACTAGCTTGTTATGTGTTATCATCTTCTCACAAACTGATTAGTTTTCTTTCTCTGGTCAGGTCAATAACTGGGAGATGAAAAAACAAGAGAGGGAAGATGCCATCACATTTTTGAAGAATAAAATTTATTCAGTCGAAGCCCTTCCTACTGCTGATGTAAATTTGCAAAGCACGTATTAAAGTAAAAATCAAACTCATATTAAGAGACATACATTTGCAAAAATAACTTTAATAAAGACTACAATCAGTTGTCAGTGGAGTTAATCTGGCTACTTAGTATAACCAAAATATTCCTTCAATTCATTGTTAAAATTAATTTTAAGAATGGAAGAAATGTTTCTGGCCACGCCATAATCTCTTCTTCTCCATTCTCTTCTCGGGATCTTGGGCATGCACGCACATGTGCCTGGCATGAGTTTAAGCCACTGGATCCAGGACTTGAGCCACAGACGACTGCATGGGAGTCCAGCGACATAGCCATTATGCCAAGTGCTGGTCCCCATTTTAGAATACATTGAGAAAATTCCACAAGGGTCATTTTTCCAGCTGGTTTTCATATTTCTACCTGTTTTCTCTGGTTCCCAGATACTTGACAAATTTGAGTTGTAGGTTTTATTTTTTTTCTCATTAGTTTTGATGTATTAAAAACTGGTTTCTTAATTGTGATGGGTATAAGCAAGTTTGTGTGGTCAATCCTGGTGTTTGGAATCTGTATATTCATATTCCTACTAAAGCTGTTGTAATAAGACAGTATTGTATCTCCAAATCATTTTCAAGCGCTGGCCAGATAACAACTGCAGGTTCTCAAACTGTAGTGTGTAAGAATTAGTGAGTTAGCATGTTAATAATGGGTGAGGATGGCATTTGTATTTGTAATAAACACTATAGGTGGAAGTGTTTCAAGGACAATTTTTTCTTTTTTTCATTCTTTTCTGCAAATACTTGCCCGAATTGAATATTTTGCTCAGTACATCTGTTTACCTGGCATTCGACTTGCTGGCGACACAGCGATGTAGGTGTGGTCCCTTGGGAAATGTGTGGCATAGGTTCCACACAAGTTGGTGTTATTCTACCCCTGAGTACACAGGTGGCAGTTAATGGACATTTGACTGAGTGCCAGGTGAAGTATTAATGTGTTCACGCTTTTTCCATTAACTTAACCCTTTCAGACATAGCTGTTGTAATGACTCTCATGACTCTCTTCTGGTCTTCATTTCTTCATCTTTGATGTGACGATATTAGTTTTCTGAGTCTTCATGTATTATTGGGCAGGACTAGCTTAGGCCAGTGGTTGAGGACCCCAGGCTGGCAATAAAAGAACTGCAGCTGTGTGACATCAGCTGTCAGGTTTTATCAAATTATCCAGCCTACATTTAGAAAAGGTTAGAGCTGAAAGGAAATTTAGCAATCAGTTAATGCACCTCCCTCACTTATGGCTGACAAAGTTAAGGTTCAGAGACTTTTATTTTTCTGAGGTCTCAGCTGTGCCATTGATTTCCACATCATTTCATCCTCTGCTGTTCTTCATCTTGTGTCCCAAGAGATGTGGATTCTGGTTCCAGATTGGACATCATTTAGTTTTCTATACTTGGCCTAGTGATTTAACCTTTATACCCTCAGAATAAGATGAGAATATTCTGATATTAGAGAAGCTAAGGTTCATTCTTAAAGTATCTGTTTCTTCCAGTAGTGAATTATGACTTATAGTCAAAGGACTGGACAAATTTATGAATATTTATAACCACCTTTTGTGGAAGTGACTTTTCTTGAGTTTGATGGTTGACACAGTAAAAAGGCATCCTCTTACCGATATTACTAAGGTCATGTTCTTCATTGGTTTGCAGCCATGGAAAACAGGCCAAGAGCTGATCAACAAGAAAATAGTTCCAGTTGACTAGTAAAGACATGCACATTCAAACACATGAGATACTTTTGTCTTTCAGATTAACAGCATTTTTTTTTTAAGCATTACAGTGCTGGGACCAGCAGATGGTGTAGTGGTTACATTGCTGGACTCCCACATGGCTGACCACAGTTTGAGTCCCAGACCCGGCAGCTTCAAACTCAAGCTGGGAGTATATGTGTACATGCCAAAATTCTAAGAGGAGATTGGAGGAGAAGAGATTGTGGCATGGCCATCCCTCGAGGGGTGATGATTAAATGCTAGTCTCTGTCTCTCTCCCCAGCGGGCATACACACCCTATAGCAAAATCTCTTAAAAAAAAAAAAAAATTACAGTGCTGATAAAGATGTAATGAGGCAGGTACTTGCATATACTGCTGGTGGAATGTATATTAACACAACCTTTCTGGAATGCACTTTGTGGGGTTTTTCTCCCATATTTTAATCAATAGCTTTATTGAGGTATAATTAATATACAAAAAACTTCATATATTTAAAGTGCACAATTTGATATGTTTTGGACACACAAACACGTGCTCATACCTATGAAACCATTGCAATCAAGATAACAGTACCTTTTTTTTTTTTTTTTTTTTTGCTATAGGGCGCTCACCAGACAGAGACAGAGACAGAAAGTGAGAAATCACCTCCCAGGGGGGATGGCCATGCAGCAATCCCTTCTCCTCTGTTCTCCTCTCGGGATCTTGGGCACACATGTGTATGCGCCCAGCATGAGTTTTAAGCCACCGGGTCCAGGATGCGAACCAGGGTTGACTACATGGGAGTCCAGCGACATAGCCATTATGCTAACTGCTGGTCCCAAGATAACATTACCTTTTAAAAGGTTTCTGTCTCCTGCCTTTCCCTCTGTCCCCTGGAAAGCACTGATCTATGGCACATACCGAAAATGGTAGTATTTCTATAGGACTGGCTGTAGAGCATTTAGGATGTCTATTTAGAGCCTTGTGGGAAAAATATTTTCTTTATGCTATGCAATAAGAAATTAGGAAACCCCAAAGAATTAGTTAGGGGAAATATTAATTCATGGTCTTGTGTGAAGTTACTGAACAAAATTTTTTTTAGAATCCTTGTTGAGAAGCTTGGTCTTGCTTTGTAGATGTAACTACTAAATATCAAGTTGTATGCTTAAAATGACCACATGCAATTCTTTCGTTGTTTTGATTTGTGTTTTTTAGGTTTTGCCATAGGGCATGTGTGCTCACCAGAGAGAGACAGACAGTGAGAGGGAAAGTGAGAGATCACCCTCAGGGTGGGGAGTAGCCATTCCACAAGCCCTTCTCCATTTGCCTTCTGGGATTTGGGGCCTGCATGCACAAGCACCCAACATGATTTTCAGGCCACTACATCACAAAAAAAGCCATCACATTTTGTCATTGAGATCAAGTGCAAGTGCATTTTTTTCTTACGAAGTATTTCTAAATAATAGTGAAGTTGTAGTTTATGGAATGGGTATGTATTGTTAGTCACTCTACGGCTAGCTTGGACAACTTTAAGCAATAGAAGGACCCATAAGACAAATTTGGGACATTTACTTGAAGCTGTATCCATGAGGAGCTGGTGTTCCTCAAACCACAGCTGATGGCACTTACCATATTACTCAGCAGTGACAAGGGACAGTCCCTTGTCTGTGACAATAGGTGACTCAGCAGCAGGCTATTCATTTAGCTTGTCTAAGTGAGGACTGGACACATTCTTGGCTTCACACAACACATCACAGCGAAGTGCAAGGGCCAGCTGCTTCCCATCTCTCATTTATAGGGACTCAGAGGTAGACCATCAGACCACACCCTATTTGGGCTACCTTGGTGAGAAGGTTACTAGCCAAATGGCTACCCAGAAGGCTGAAGAGTTGGCCATCTTTTGACACTCTGTAACCATTTGTATTAGGGCAGCTCACTGGGGCACTCAGAAAAAGTCGAAGTCTACATTTCCCAGACTCGCTTCAAGCTTGAAGTGCAAATGTGACTTGGTTCCCTCCACGTAGCTGTGCCTGCTTGAAGTTAGGAAGGCCAGATGAGATGGACACCTAACTTCTGCCAAAAAGCAGCTGTAGAACACCTGATGTTTCTGGAGTAGCAATAGCAGGGAATAGCAATAGCAGGTGTAGAGTGGCATGCATTTTGCTGATGGGGATTGTGGCTGAGGGGATGTGTCTCTGGGACCAGTGATTGGGCATCTTCATGATTTCTCAGCTTCTAGGCTATAAGCTGAGCAAGGTCTTCTGGACAGCCTATTCTGTAATCATGTTCTGGGAGTCAGACAAATGTCCTTTCAGTCCTTCCAATCACCTAGTTCACAGAAGGAGGCTTCTGGGAATAGTCAAAAGTTATCACTCAAACACATGGTGTCTGAACTAGTTCCTGTTTTCAGCAACTTAGTCTTGATTGATTAAGATACTATAATATAGGTATGTCTGAGCAGACTTCAAAGTTTGTGCTGGTACCAGCAGTTAGCATAATGGCTATGTCACTGGACTCCCATGTAATCGATTACAGTTCGAGTCCCAGACCCGGTGACTTAAACTCATGCTAGGTGCGTGTGCGTGTGTGCCCGAGATCCCAAGAGGAGAAGGGATTGCAGAGTGGCCATCCCCCCTGGGGGGTGATTTCTCACTTTCTGTCTATCTCTGTCTGGAGAGCACACATACCCTATAGCAAGAACCTCTCCAAACAAACAAAAAAAAGTTTGTGTCAAAATGGAATTGGAAACACTATGTTGCTACAAATATTTTTAATCCATGCATTTTTTTCATGATATGCATTTTCTATGAACCTTTTGAATAAGCTTTATATGTGTGTGTGTGTGTGTGTGTGTATATATATATATAATATATATATAAAATAAAGTAAAAAAAACACACACATACACAAAATTTTTTAAAATGTTCTGAATTTTACTTTAAAGAATTTCACTCAGGCTTAGACACACATCATGCCGTTAAGACACAGTAGCAGGCCAGCAGGTGGTGTGATTGTGCTGCTGGACTCCCACATGGCTGACCTCAGTACAAGTCCTGGACCTGGTGGCTTGCTTTCTCACTTTCTCTCCCTCTTAATCTCTTTCTCTCTATCTCTCTGGTGAGCACACATGCTCTACAGAAAGTTTAAAATAATGATAATAATAAATAAAATAAATAATTCTTTAAAAAAAAAAAAAGAGCACTAGTAACACCCATGTCCACTGCCAGGTGTTTTCACATGTGACCTCACTCTCAGCAGATTTATCCAGGCTGCAGTAAAGCTTCCCTGGCAGGTGAGGGGAGATACCAACCCACCTGCTCTGCTCACTACCTGTTCTCCCACCTGATTGTCACATATTCTGCACACTGTCA